GGCCCGCTCAGGTTGCATGGACACGTTCGGGACGAAAGCCTATAGACGAGTTTTTCGTCGTTGGTAGAGCCAATATTTTGACGCCAAAGAGCGCCGTTAGTCGATGCCGCCGTTGGTTGAGGGCTCACTGTACTTGTTTACAGACACCTCGGACTTACGATGGGCTCTCTGACCAATATTCATACCTAAATAATGTATATTAGAGCTGATTTCCTCTATTCAGTTATTTCAATATATAGTACATTACTGAATAAACATTTAAAAATATACCAGAAATGTTATAAATGGTGCAAAGGTGACATTAAAACAATATCAAAGATGGTCGACACAAACTCACCACCATTATAGTATTGTCCTCACTTAGTGACGAATTCCTTTTATGACGTTTATCTGGAGTTTATCTGGAGAGAGTTCCGGGGGTCAACGCCCCCGCGGCCCAGTCTGTGACCAGGCCTCCTTAGGTCAGTGTCCCAGGATGCGACCCACACCAGTCGACTAACACCCAGGTACCCATTTTAATGATGGGGAACATAGACAACAGGTGGAAAGAAACACGTCCAATGTTTCTACTCTGGCTGGGAATCGAACCCAGGCCCTCACCGTGTGAAGCGAGAGCGTTAACCACCAGGCCACCAGACGTGGTCTAAGGAACAATACTCCGTTGTTAAGTGAGGAGAGGCTGTATTACGGCGCATACCAGCAAAATGTTCCTATATTATTATTATTATTTTTACCAGTATTGTTATTATTGCCGAGACATTCTTTACCTATAGGAGTCATACAGCACCTGGGGGATAAGAGGCAATTAGGTTTGATTCAAGGTAAGGGAGACTCCTGTCCCTCAGATCAAGATCCCTTCACCAGCATCAAGACACTCCTGTTGAAGGGCCAGAAAAGTCTTTACAGTTAAACAAATATTGTCTTAATTTAAGATGGTCTTAAAATTACTCAAAGATTTCATACCATTGAAAAATACCTGTACCACATATATATAATTTGCTGAAATTTATTCACACCTGAACAATAATATGTTAAAACCGGTACATATATAATATACATACATTCTTATATATACATACAGTACATACCTAAGTTTTTTTTTTTTTTTTTTTTTTTTTTTTTTTTTTTCAACAAGTCGGCCGTCTCCCACCGAGGTAGGGTGACCCAAAAAAGAAAGAAAATCCCCAAAAAGAAAATACTTTCATCATCATTCAACACTTTCACCACACTCACACATTATCACTGTTTTTGCAGAGGTGCTCAGAATACAACAGTCTAGAAGCATACACATATAAAGATACACAACATATCCCTCCAAACTGCCAATATCCCAAACCCCTCCTTTAAAGTGCAGGCATTGTACTTCCCATTTCCAGGACTCAAGTCCGACTATATGAAAATAACCAGTTTCCCTGAATCCCTTCACTAAATATTACCCTACTCACACTCCAACAGATCGTCAGGTCCCAAGTATCATTCGTCTCCATTCACTCCTATCTAACACGCTCACGCACGCTTGCTGGAAGTCCAAGCCCCTCGCCCACAAAACCTCCTTTACCCCCTCTCTCCAACCCTTTCGAGGACGACCTAAGTACATATATTATATACAGTACTATACACACAACTGAATACATAAATTTATAACCAACAGAAACAGTTATACATTTATTCATTATACATCTATATTTTTATCATGTTTTTACAATACATTTATACATTATACATCTATACATTTATATTGTCTTTACAATACATTTATACATTATACACCTATACATTATAGTCTTTACATTGATAAAAATCATCGCAAAGCTTCAATTTAGACATGTGCAACCTTACCTATAATTTTAAACCAACATCTCTGGAATTTGTTTCTCAATAAAATTATAATCACTTCTGTATTAATAACAGATTAAATATTTAAAAAATATGAAAATGTACATCTATCTTATAGTATACTATAGGATACAGTTCCTTTCAACATATTTAATTTGCAAAAAAAATTGTAAGATTTCAGGATGTTTGAAGAATTGTGTGGCTAAGTGAATCAGACATAGCCAGTTTAACCCGTAAACGGTCCAAACGTATACGTTTTTTCAACATTTGAATGTAAAAAAAGTAGATCATCTTTTTGTTTTTTTTACATTTGAAAATGTGAAAAACTTTGATCTACTTTTTTTTTTTTATATTTGAAAATATGTAAAAAAAACGTAGATCTACTTTTGTAGCACTACACATGTGAACGTAGATCTGCTGGGACCGTTTACGGGTTAAACATTAGATTATTATTATTATAATCAAGGGGAAGCGCTAAACACGTAGGATTATACAGCGCCTGGGGGGGGATGTGGAAGGCATTCAGGCTTAATTCAGGGAACTGGAGCACAGATCCAATTCCCTAAATCAAGAGCCCCTCACCAACATCAAGGAACCTTCCCTGAGGGGATTAAACATTATAGCAACCTTGTTTTCTTTACCATGGACACAACTTTGGTAATTTCTCACTCTAATCTGTATTCCCTTAACAACATTCTTAATGAAGAATTCTTTAACCCTTTCATTGTCCAGACTTCCTATCTGAAACTTGTCTAAAGGGTCCAAGAATTAAAAAAAAAAATATTTCTTCTTATGAAACAGCAGATAATCTTTTTCTGAAAGGTATAAAACAAAAAGTCAAAAAATTATGAAATTTGATAGAAAACTGACAAAATTATGCTTTTGCAAATTTTACTGTCAGCAATATTTACGCATTGGCGATTTGCCCACTCTAACTCCTATTTTAAGCCAATTACATTTTCCAGTAGACCAAATTCTTAACTATTTCATTAGTTTGTCTTCCATTTAATCGGCTGAGCACAGGAAACTGTTATCAACTATGTATTTCAACTACCCAATAAAGTGATCAGAAATTGGTAATTTGGCCAGTGTCACACTGCAAAAATGCAATGCATATAAAGGACGCGAAGATCTGGAATTCACTACCTGAACCGGCAAAGGATCCCCTGACTACTTATAAATTTCGGACTTTGCTTAAAAATTATCTTAATACTAACCAAAACAACTTCGAATCGGTTTGAAGCAACTCTCCAAAATATTCTATTATATGACCTTTAGTCTATTAAAACATCTGCCAATCCATAAAATATTGCTGTTTGAATCATTATTTGTAATGCTGTTTTTATTATGTGCAACTTCAAGATTATTATATTTATAAACCTCCACCTTGACTACCTCAGATTATTATTAAGATTATATAAAGATTTTAATACAAATTAACCACACTTATCTTGTCTAGATTTAAGGAGTTATTATGTACAAGGATTAGTCTGCCCGAAATGCCCCAGCATAATAGTGACTTTCTTCATACTTAGCAAACCAAAATTGTAATTACACATTGTAACCTTTACAAAGAAATGAAATCTTTATCAAATTTCAAAATAGGGTCCAGAATAAACAACGCAGCCATTGTGGCACTAAAATAACATTTCCTCTGTTCATTAGTTACATTCCCAGGCTTTACACGTGAATTCTATTTTGCATTTTTAATGAAAGAACCAGGCCATGAGCCAACTTAGGCGACTTGTGGCATGGGTGGCAAAGCTCTCGATTCATACGCTGAGGGTCCGGGTTCGATTTCTGGCAGGGTGAAAACATTGCACGTTTCCTAACACCTGTTGTCCATGTTCGCCCATTAGTAAAATGGATACCTGGGTGTTAGTCGACTGGTGAGAGTCGTATCCTGGGACAAAATCTGACTTAATTTGCGGGAAATGCTTTGCATAACAAGTGGCTTTCTATACAGAATTATGTCGTTGATGTCTGCTAGGCCTGTATACCTGCTAGGCCAGTATATCTTGTGGCCTGGTGGCTAAAGCTCCCGCTGCATGCACGGAGGGCCTGGGTTCGATTCATGGCAGGGTGGAAACATTTCGTCGCATTTCCTTACACCTGTTGTCCTGTTCACCTAGCAGTAAATAGGTACCTGGGTGTTAGTCGACTGGTGAGGGTCGCATCCTGGGGGACAAGATTTAGGACCCCAATGGAAATAAGTTAGACAGTGCTTCATGACAGACTGACTTTCTTGGGTTATCCTGGGTGGCTAACCCTCCGGAGTTAAAAATCCAAACGGAATCTCTTACATGTACTTGTAGTAATATTATTTATGACTCACTGAGGAGTTTAACCTTCACGACTCATTGAGGTGTTGAAGCTCTATGACACACTGAGGTGTTGAAGCTCTATGACACACTGAGGTGTTGAAGCTCTATGACACACTGAGGTGCTGAAGCTCTATGACACACTGAGGTGTTGAAGCTCTATGACACACTGAGGTGCTGAAGCTCTATGACACACGGAGGTGTTGAAGCTCTATGACACACTGAGGTGTTGAAGCTCTATGACACACTGAGGTGTTGAAGCTCTATGACACACTGAGGTGTTGAAGCTCTATGACACACCGAGGTATTGAAGCTCTATGACACACTGAGGTGCTGATGCTCTATGATACACCAAGGTGTTGAAGCTCTATGACATACTGCGGTGCTGAAGCTCTATAACAAACTGCAGTGCTGAAGCTCTACAACACAATGAATTGAAGCTCTATGACATACTGCAGTGCTGAAGCTCTATAACAAACTGCAGTGCTGAAGCTCTACAACCCAATGAATTGAAGCTCTATGACATACTGACCCCTCAAGGAAGGTTCCTTGATGTTGGTGAGGGGCTCTTGATTTAGGGAATTGGATCTGTGCTCCAGTTCCCCGAATTAAGCCTGAATGCCTTCCACATCCCCCCCCAGGTGCTGTATAATCCTCCGGGTTTAGCGCTTCCCCTTGATTATAATAATAATAATAATATGACATACTGAGGTGCTGAAGCTCTATGACATACTGAGGTGCTGAAGCTCTGCTTCTGGATAACAGATCACAGAGCTGGTTTACCACTGCTTGTTTTACACACAAGTTACTCCACTAACAACCTGGTAAAACACAAAAATTAACCTAGTAAAACAGGTAAAATATCGCAGTAGAGGTGAGTAACAACAGTGACTGACAACGTCACGTGACCCACTCCAAGTGACCATTATGATAAATGTTGACATTACTAACATTAATAATAATAATAATAATAATAATAATAATAATAATAATAATAATAAAGCAGTGAAGAGTTTTTACGAGGATAGTGAGGCTCAAGTTAGAGTATGTAGGAAAGAGGGAAATTTTTTTCCCAGTAAAAGTAGGCCTTAGACAAGGATGTGTGATGTCACCGTGGTTGTTTAATATATTTATAGATGGGGTTGTAAGAGAAGTAAATGCGAGGGTCTTGGCAAGAGGCGTGGAGTTAAAAGATAAAGAATCACACACAAAGTGGGAGTTGTCACAGTTGCTCTTTGCTGATGACACTGTGCTCTTGGGAGATTCTGAAGAGAAGTTGCAGAGATTGGTGGATGAATTTGGTAGGGTGTGCAAAAGAAGAAAATTAAAGGTGAATACAGGAAAGAGTAAGGTTATGAGGATAACAAAAAGATTAGGTGATGAAAGATTGGATATCAGATTGGAGGGAGAGAGTATGGAGGAGGTGAACGTATTCAGATATTTGGGAGTGGACGTGTCAGCGGATGGGTCTATGAAAGATGAGGTGAATCATAGAATTGATGATGGAAAAAGAGTGAGTGGTGCACTTAGGAGTCTGTGGAGACAAAGAACTTTGTCCTTGGAGGCAAAGAGGGGAATGTATGAGAGTATAGTTTTACCAACGCTCTTATATGGGTGTGAAGCGTGGGTGATGAATGTTGCAGCGAGGAGAAGGCTGGAGGCAGTGGAGATGTCATGTCTGAGGGCAATGTGTGGTGTGAATATAATGCAGAGAATTCGTAGTTTGGAAGTTAGGAGGAGGTGCGGGATTACCAAAACTGTTGTCCAGAGGGCTGAGGAAGGGTTGTTGAGGTGGTTCGGACATGTAGAGAGAATGGAGCGAAACAGAATGACTTCAAGAGTGTATCAGTCTGTAGTGGAAGGAAGGCGGGGTAGGGGTCGGCCTAGGAAGGGTTGGAGGGAGGGGGTAAAGGAGGTTTTGTGTGCGAGGGGCTTGGACTTCCAGCAGGCATGCGTGAGCGTGTTTGATAGGAGTGAATGGAGACAAATGGTTTTTAATACTTGACGTGCTGTTGGAGTGTGAGCAAAGTAACATTTATGAAGGGATTCAGGGAAACCGGCAGGCCGGACTTGAGTCCTGGAGATGGGAAGTACAGTGCCTGCACTCTGAAGGAGGGGTGTTAATGTTGCAGTTTAAAAACTGTAGTATAAAGCACCCTTCTGGCAAGACAGTGATGGAGTGAATGATGGTGAAAGTTTTTCTTTTTCGGGCCACCCTGCCTTGGTGGGAATCGGCCGGTGTGATAATAAAAAAAAAAAAAAAAAAAAAATAATAATAATAATAATAATAATAATATTAATAATATTAATAATATTATTATTATTATTATTATATTATTATTATTATTATTATTATTATTATTATTATTATTATTATTATTATTAATAATAATAATAATAATAATAATAATAATAATCATTTTTAGGTGAAAATCCACACACAAGAGCTATTAAATGTCTGCACCAAATTCACTTTAAACCAGCAAATATTAGAGCCTAGAGGACTAGAAAATACACTGGGCTTTATCTTCACTAATAATGACGATCTGATATGTATTTTAACCTTATTAAAGACAATAGACTCAGAGCACAATATAATCGAGGTACGGAGATGTATGCACAGGGCTCCTGGCCAGGGAAATGTGATCAGTTATGAGGGTATCTTCACAAATTTCAACTTCAGTAACAAAAATATACAATGATACTCCAATACTGAAACTATGTATTGTGTTAAAACAAAAGCATTCACATTGCTAAACTCACAAACTAGTATTTAGTCACTTAGTCATAATACCAACTTACCTCATAATTTGTAATATTTTACAATTAAGAATAAAACTAAGTCTGCCCGAAATGCCTAGCCATGCTAGGTGTTCTAGTGGTACACTCTGTAATGCCTAGCCATGCTAGGTGTTCTAGTGGTACACTCTGTAATGCCTAGCCATGCTAGGTGTTCTAGTGGTCACTCGTAAATGCCTAGCCATGCTAGGTGTTCTAGTGGTACACTCTGTAATGCCTAGCCATGCTAGGTGTTCTAGTGGTACACTCTGTAATGCCTAGCCATGCTAGGTGTTCTAGTGGTACACTCTGTAATCACTATTTTACTACATGTAAACCACACAATAACCAAATTCTGTAAACTCAGCATTGTAATCCTTATAGAGAATAAACTTTGAATTTGAATTTGAATTTGAATGGGAATATGGAAAATTTTATAGGGGTGATTACTTTTACATACCTCAACATTACATGCATACAAGTAATCTCCTTGGGAGACAACAACTATATTGTTTACCGTAGTCACCCCGTGTAGACATGTGAGAAAACTTAACCACCTCTGGTCACTGCAGGTGGCCCCTCGACCCTCACAATCTTATCCATATCTATCCGAGACCAGTATAAATTGGGTAGCACCCTCAAGCACGGCGCTACTAATTAATTGTGGACTGTATAGATTATATTAGTTTAACTGAATGAAGGGGGGGGGGGGGTAGGTTACACATTGATACATCCATCAAGGAAAAAACATTTGTACATAATCCCACCACTTACCAGATATTCTCTGGTGGTCACTTGATGTGGCTGGATCACCCTTAACCTATCCAATTAAAACATACCTAACTGGCCAGTATCAGTCTGTTATAACTAGAAGGGTTACTTAACTGGGGGTGATTGATGCTCCTTATTTCCTCCATTCACCATCTTATTTCAATGTCCCGCTACACCGACACGGTTCTTATTCCAGCAGGACGAGGCATCCGTTGGTTCGTCCCGGTTTAGAAGTCGTGATTCCATAAAACTTCACTATCCTCGGTACGAGAATCATGCGTTCACTCGGAGCAGAGCAATCTATTTCACATCCCGCATTCTCTTAACTTAATGTTATTATCACTGATTACATTACCATTCACAAGACGATCTAATGTCTCATAATTATTATACACATTAGAGGTCACTCCATTAAGATCTGAGGCCGATGAGTGAGGATTAACTCACGGGTATTTCCCCTGGACACACACCATGGCCGCGCACCAGTCACACCCAGTCGAACCATTATTCACTAATTTTACCACCCTTTTACGGTAGTCCCGTAAATCACGTTCCCTCACTCTTCACCAGGAACAGTTACGACACTTCCTATTATGAATTGAGGCCTATATTAATCCTTAGGCCGCCGTGAACGCCAATTTCCTGATCCCATGTTTTCACAGCCTCCTCACTACATTCAAAACACTGCCGCCACCTCGTGCCCCAGCTCGACCTATACCCCCACACTGCCGCCACCTCGTGCCCCAGATCGACCTATACCCCCGCACATCTGCGCAGGCGCAGCGGGAACCCAGTTGGTTCCATTCAAAATACAAATACATTTTGACCCAAATCAACACATTAAACACTTTTTAGGCACCATAGCTTCGGAAATTAAATAATTTCCACAGGGAACAAGTCAACCATGTTCTAAATGAAACAAGCTGGGAAGATATCCTAAACAACAATGGTCCGAACCTTTGCCTAGAAAAAAAATCAACTCTGTGGTTCTTGAGATCTGCTCGAGGCACATTCCGTGAAGAAAAAGAAAGAGAAGATATAAACTAGAAAGACAGAGACACCCCCTAAGCAGACGAAGGCAAAGAATCACAGAGCTGCTGAGAGGGGGCAAATATATCTGAAATATGAAGCAAGGCACTGGTTCCGGGGGCGTTGACCCCCGAAACACTCTCCAGGTATACTCCAGAAATTCCAGGTACAGGCGCACATAAATACATTACAAAAATTATCATACATAAGTAACGTATGTGTAAAGTACCTACGATAACCCCCCCCCCTCTCCCAAAATGTCAAAATCTTTGACTTATTTCAATTAGGGTCCATTATCTGTATTATTCTTGCAATACAGTGTAATTCGTTTATAAAACAATGCTCAGTGTTGCAAGAATATCATACATGAGCATTGAGTAACATAACCCTATTATCCGAGATCACTGTCTGTAACATATATATATATATATATATTATATATATATATTATATATATATATATATATATATATATATATATATATATATATATATATATATATATATATATATTTCATCAAACCGGAAGCATCCCACCAAGGCGGGGTGGCCCAAAAAGAAAAACAAAAGTTTCTCTTTTTAAATTTAGTAATTTATACAGGGGAAGGAGTTATTAGCCCCTTGCTCCCGGCATTTTAATCGCCTCTTACAACACGCATGGCTTACGGAGGAAGAATTCTGTTCCACTTCCCCATGGAGGTAAGAGAAAATAAACAAGAAAAGAACTAGAAAGAACATAAGAACATAAGAAAGGAGGAACACTGCAGGAGGCCTGCTGGCCCATACTAGGCAGGTCCTTTACAATTCATCCCACTAACAAAACATTTGCCCAACCCAATTTTCAATGCCACCCAAGAAATAAGCTCTGATGTGAAAGTCCCACTCAAATCCAACCCCTCCCACTCATGTACTTATCCAACCTAGATTTGAAACTACCCAAAGTCCTAGCCTCAATAACCCAACTAGGTAGACTGTTCCACTCATCAACTACCCTATTTCCAAACCAATACTTTCCTATGTCCTTTCTAAATCTAAACTTATCTAATTTAAATCCATTACTGCGCGTTCTCTCTTGGAGAGACATCCTCAAGACCTTATTAATATCCCCTTTATTAATACCTATCTTCCACTTATACACTTCGATCAGGTCTCCCCTCATTCTTCGTCTAACAAGTGAATGTAACTTAAGAGTCTTCAATCTTTCTTCATAAGGAAGATTTCTGATGCTATGTATTAATTTAGTCATCCTACGCTGAATGTTTTCTAACGAATTTATGTCCATTTTGTAATACGGAGACCAGAACTGAGCTGCATAATCAAGGTGAGGCCTTACTAATGATGTATA